AAAGCACCTACCCATAAAGTTTCAACCCTAGACTCCTCCATTTGCTCATCCATCAAACAAATATTTTGTTTTAGAGCATCACATCAACCCAAATTCCTATGACCTTGACCCTCTAAAGACTGATTTGACATCACCAGATCTCAAACACCCCCAAATACCCACTTGTGAAATCTCAACCCACTGTTTACCCTTCAATCACACTAATCTCAACCCTCCATTTTTAACCCAAAAATCCCCACCATTAAAAACCAAGATCTCCAACTTAACCCCTAAACCCGGTTTGACCCAAATGTCCCAAAATTACAAAAATACCTCCAAGTTTCCCAAAATTTATGAAACTACCACTACACCATAGTATTGTTCAGGCAATATCACTCACTAATGAATCCAAGGAGTAAACATAGAGTATGATTCATTTTGGTTGTTTCGACATCTTGCCGCAACACCTTATTCAGTTCCACTCTCTGGTGACGCTACAAGATAGGTAACCTCTGTTTCACCTTTGTCATTGTTGGTGAGAGTTCAATCACAATGTTTAGATGGATCTCAATCTATTGTGCTTGTTTTGTCGAGGATTGATCTAAATGTTGATAATCAGATTAGGTAGTTCTTATTTTCTATTTTTGATTACTTATTTACTGATGTGAACCAATAGATGTATTTGAATCAAAATCTGTTTAATTCGATCTCACGATATCATGGCAGTAGACTTTGTCTTGGTTCATTGTTTTATCATCGGAGTTGAGGAAGACTCGTGGTATTTTTTGGGGCAATGAGAATTTTGATCTCATAACTAAAAATGAAAAATAAAATAAAAAAGGGAAGAAAGGAAAAATGTTAAAAAAAAAGTAAAGGATGACGACATGATTGAACAGAGGATAGTTTAGATCAATCGCAAAAATAGAAATAAAAAGAAAAAAGAAAAAAAATTAAAATAATGAATAAATTAGGAGAAAAGACGTGAAATAGAGAGGTTGTTATATTTGATTGCTCTGTTAATAGGACAAAGAAAAAGCTACTAATAAACATGAACAAGAAAAATAATAAAAATAAAGAATCAAGAAAATAAGGAAAATTGTCTTTCATGTTGTTTTGCTCGTGTAGCTTAGTCCCATTATGACAACATCATCTTAATTAATTAATTTTGTCTTTAGTATTGATGTCTACTATTTGAATCTCATGTGAACACCACCTATTGGACCCAAGAGAGGAGTGTCTAACCCTTTCTCTCCCATCCAAATCTTACCCGGACTAGTCTAACCAATGCCTCAGACTACTGGAGTCACTATTGAACAAAAATGATTTTGATACTATTTTCAAAAGTCCCATCACCTCCATTTCCTAACTGATGGGTGGCAACTCCAAATTCAACCCAAGTGAGCCATTTTTCCAATGCTCACAATAAGCTTCTATAATGTGATATACAAAGATTGATAGCAAAATTTTTGGCCGATAGAATGAACCCCCTTCTACCAAAACTCATTAGTCAAAATAAGGCAACCTATATAAAAGGGAGACTTTACACAACATTCTTTCAAAGGAGATAATTGACAAATCGAAAACCCAAAAGGAAAATAGATGGGAAGCATGACTATGGCCTTTAATAAAATGGGGTGGGATTTCCTAATTGAAACAATTGAGTAGAATGGATTTCCCAGATGTTTGTTATTGGGATGCAAGTTTAAACAAACTCCTAAATCAGGAAGAACAAGCAAGAAGACTGCAAAGAATTAAACTTTCTAGAACAGACCCCTCACATTTGTTGTTCGTTGATGGCTGTCTTATTGAGGCTTCACCAGACTCCTTCCTAGCTGTGAAGGCAGCCTTAAGAAAATTGGACAAGTTAATTGACAGCAAGTGAACTTCAACAAATCGGGTATAGTATTCAGCAAAATTACCCATAAGACTCATCAAAGATTTCTTTACAAAGCCCTGGGAATGAAAATAATGAATACAAATTCAAAATACCTGGGAGCCTGGATAAATGAAGAATAAGAGTGAAACTTTTAAAGAAATAACTATAAGGGTAGAGGGTAAACTAGAAAGCTGGAAGGCCAAAGTCCTCTCACGAACAGAAAGAACTACTCTACTGCAATTAATGGCACAAAACATCCCAGCTTACATGATGACAAGCCAGCTACCAAGAAAACTTTAAACAATTTAGAGAAAATGCAATAAAAATAGTGGAAAAGAAATTTGGATAAAGAACAAGGCTACAATATAGCATGAAAGAAAATTTGTAAACCAAATAACAAAGGAGACTTGGGCTTAAGGCTGACTGAACCTCTTAACAGAGCTCTCTTCTCAAAGCAAATCTGGAAATTTTTAAGTGAAAACCAACAGCTATGTAGTGATCAACTCAAAGAGAATATTGAAAAGTTGTAGCTTCTTTGATTGCAAAGTAAAAGTGGAAAGTTGCCTTAAAACTGAGAGATAAACTAGAAGGCACCTTGTGCTGGCAAATTGGTTATTGTCAGAAGATAACTGCTATAACGGATTCTTGGATCCCCTGGACAGCAAACAATACGCCAATACTTAGGCTTGAAGCTGTTCAACTCATTAAAAACATTCCTATCAGCCAACAAAGAAGCTCAAAGCCTCAAACACTAATGAAACACACACACACACACAAAATGGGGCCTTCTCCGTCAAATCAACCTACAGAAGCTTCGGTTTGGACCCTGATGTCTCGAGCTCACAAACCTTAATTAAATGGACCAGAATGTGGAAAATCAAGGCCCCTTGCAAACGTCTCCTGATTGGATGAAAATTTTTTAATATAGGCTGTAAGAACAAAACAATCTGAACCCAAAGACAGAAAAATGAGCTCTCTTGCTCCTGTCAGCAAAATGTTGAAAGACAGACTTACCTATTCTTTGAATGCGACCTAGTAAGAACAATCTGGCTTGAATCTCAAGTTGGACTCAACCCCGAAGAATATAGGTCAAAAAATTTAAATGCCCAAAAAAATCAAAGCAAGCCTATCTGAATCTGACGAATCTTAGCCATCCTGAGAAGCATCTAGGACCACAAAAATGATGTGTTCAGGAAAAACCCCAAATCCTCTAGATGTTCTTCAGAAAGCTAAGAGCTACATCATTCCAAAAGTTGCTAATCTCTACAATAAAAGCCAAGTCATGTAGCACATGTCATGGAAACAGTACTGGTTCTCCTTTAATTCACATTCCCTTCTTATTGTTGATGGTTATCAAGACAACCACATACAAAGAAACTATTGATGCTTATCTAGTCTCTTACACTCATCGGAATTGCATTACAAAAGGACAACCATGTTATGCAAATGACGCCACAATAGCTGAGCTCTAAGCAATCATCAAAGGCATAAAAATGATTGAGTTGGGCAACACAAAAACCGCTATAATTTCTGATGCCAATGATCTACTAACCAGAACGTGGAAGCTCTTTTTTCGTAAATGTAAATATTATATAATGTAGATAAGAAGGAAGTCTCTCGAGCTCATAGAGCAAGAACCTCTGGAACTAAATTCTTTTGGCAAAAGCCTCCCTGCTCAATTATGAGCTTGCTATTTTGTATAAGAGGCTCAATTTGTATCCATGATTGTTTTCAATAGATCCTCTTTTATCCAAAATAAAAATTAGACTTTCAAACTCAAATTCCAAGGAACGCATACAAATAATGTAGAGTGCAAAATTATGTACTATTTTGTATGTGTTTATATTGTATATATTTGAATTTGTACTCTTTCGAATTTGTATTCGTACCCTCCTCACCACCTCAGTTTGGAAGGAATACATGTAAAGTGCAAAACCCTGCTTTTTGTATTATTTTCAAGTATTTCACTGTACATATTTGTATTTGTACTCTTTCCAAACTGAGCCTTAAGCTTCCCGTCTTTTGGAGGATGACAAGTTTTACGCATCTCAAGAGTGCTTTTAATCACATTCATATCTTACCTGACTTCCACAGTGCAGGTGCAACTTTGGAGGAAATGATTCTCAAAGAATTTCCATTTATTAGAATTTAAAAAATATTTTAACCATGTGGAAACCTGAAGCTTTCTTGTTTTTTACTTACTTTGTCTAAGCAAATCCTTTCTTTTTTGGTAGGGTGGGCGATAAGTAAAAGGCATGATTCACTCCACGTCAGTGTGAACTACATCCACCGACTTTACCAGCTGAGTCAGTTGGCACCTTCCAAAATGTATGAAGCTCAAAAAACACACCCTTGTTTGTGTAGAAATAAAAATACTGCATTAAAAAATCACTTATTACCAAAGTATAATACACATAAAAAGATAACCACCTAATGCGTATATACAACTTGTTACTCAAGCCACTAAAAAAGTTAATAATCAAAAAACTGAAAATATTAAAGCAACATAAAAGCTTATACTTATAGCTCATTTAAAACCTACAAGTATAAAGCCAATTAGTATGGCTATATATGAAGCCATTAACCTAGCTATAATAAAGAACCACTAATTTCAGAATCATGTTATTGGGGTAGGGTTGTCAGAAAACTACACTTATTGGGATAGGGTTGTCAGAAAACTACACACTCATGAATACAGTCCGACCATGCCAAAAAGGCATGATATAAAAACCAATGAACAACAACTGATGTTCATAAAAAATCATGCAAGGGGGACCTGATTGGTCAAAGTTCTTTTCGCAACATACCCTTCTGGAATAAGAGATATTATGAATCTGTTGCACTCAGCCAACTTCTCAGGCACACCTTGTAAGTATGCATAAACAAGAAACAACCTACGTGTATGCACATTTATGTCTATTATAATGCATCTATTGATTTTCTGTGAGATATATCCCTAAAAATACTTGCTTCCAATTCACATCTAATCAGAGTTGCTCTTGCAAATAAATCAAATAATCAGATTAAACAAGCAAGAGATTCTACCAGGTGTCAACAACTATCTAGCTTATTAAAGCAACCAGGTAGGCACAAGACCAATTATGAAAGTCATAACCAACTCACATTGCAATACCCACAAGAAAACTTATTTTCAAATTTGCAGACCAAGCAACTATGTGTTACCAATGGCTCAAAAAACAACTGTTTGACTCCCATACATACATACATGCATGCATGTATATAAGTATATATAAAATCCACGAAGTTATATGCATCTCAGGTACTGAAATTCTTCTTATTCATTAAAACAAAAAAAGACATCTGGCATGTCTAATTGTTTATGCGTACCAGATATAACAGATATGATCATCTCTAACAGAGGTTATAGAACATGGGTACTGCACACTATCAGATTCATAATAATAACAGAATTACTGAATACAACTCCCCTTAAACTTGGTCAGAATTTAATACTCTCTTCACCTTTTCAGAAACTTCATTGGGTACCTGTTGGATACCTAATGCAATGGCATATTGTAGAAGGATCTGTAACAGGCTCTGACGGCTCTGGTGAAGAGGATGGGGGCAACTCTGAAGACGTGACTGAGGCACAGCTGTCGTAACTTCAGTATCTTCAACCTGAGGAGCCAAGACTGGAACCACGGTGGAAATAGTTACCAAAGTCTTGAAGATGTCCTGGAATTAAAGGACGAGGCTCCAAGAATCTAACATCTCTAGGCATGTATAATCATTATGCCATATGATCAAAACAAAACTACCTGTTTTTGCCATGTCCGTACACAATAAAAATATGTGGAACAGAATGAAAATAGTGTCCTTTCCTGAAGAGTGAAGAAACATAGCATTCACAATAAAAAATCAAAAAGTAATAAGAGAAAAGCCAATAAGCTGGGGACTCATAAATGGGAAGAGGATTATCACCTGTGTATATAGGAAAGAAAAGAACTGCATCATCCAAGTAGTGTTTAGGAACACTCAATGTATAGTAACAGAGTATGCATTGTTTCACAGATATGCTGTCCAGCAGAAGAAGTGCCCTTTCAGATAGTCACTTCCATAATGAATGACAAGGCAAGAATGAAGTAGGGGTGATAATTATTTTATATATATGAATATTTTCATGACACTATAAATTATATAAATTTTTTTGAAAAGTACAATAAAATTTTCATTAAGGCTCAGTTTGGAAGGAGTACAAATACAATTAAGTAGAGTGCAAAACCTTGTATTCTGTATTGTTTGTACTGTACATATTTGTATTGTACTATTTCCAAACTGAGCCTAAACATCAAAAAAAAAAATAGAGAGAATACAAAAGAAAGGTGATAAGACATCACCAAGGAGAAGAAACTAAAAGACCCCCTGAAACAAACATACAACTCAAAAAACAACCTTACAACAGAAGCTGAAACAAAAAAGACAGGACTCAAAAAACTAACAGCACCTCCCAGGCGCCAGTCAAAAACAGCAACTGCCCCACTGAGCAAACTGAAAAAACACCCAAGTTCCCCTCCCCAACCTCGACTAAATCAAGCTCCACAGTCTTCTCACACCGAATAGTACTAATCCTCCCTATCTAATTCATCTTCCTGTTTCAAACATGAAAAAACCTTAGTGACGTGCACAAGATGAGATTTATTCACTCCTCTGTGCTTCTTCACAGCCACCCCTGATTCTTTAATGGAAACCACAGCATCAATCGCCAACCTCCTCCTACCCAAACACTTCTACTATAAGGTCTTCTGAACTCCTTCAAGGAGCCTCATTGTCCTCTGTACCAGCAGACTGATCTTTTGACTTCTATTGGGAACCTCCTCCCCACACACTGGCGCTACTTGGAAAGGAACCAAACTGGGTCCTGAGCAAGAAATGCCATGCACTTGATGACAACCAGAACATCATCTGTAATTGAGTTCTCGGTTGATCTTTCTGCACCTATCACATGCCGTTAGCTCTCCTCTAAAGCTTCACCCAAATGTTTCCTTTCACTCCCCAATACTATAAATTCTGAGTACAATTTGCTGCTCAAATCACGGTGCAGAGACCTCCCACAAACTCAAAGCTATTTAGCTCTGATCTCACTCTCTCCTTTCTCATATCTTGTAATAACCTAGACCCCATCCTGCTTTAAAACATTTTCCTTTTTAAAACTCCTACTCCAATTAAACAACACCCCAAGGCCTTTCACCTTTTTAATAACTTTTTCTGAATTACACCTACCTCTTAAAACCTTAAACTTGCCCCTCCACCTTTACTACGAAACGCCTTTGTCTTTTCCTTTTTAAAAGTGGTCCCCATTCGGTCCACTCTCCTTGCTAGAACCTACAATCACCAATCCCCCTTCCTCTCCTGCACCATTCTCACCCAACTCCTTGTCTCCTTAAAAAATTTCAGACCTACCCTCCATGTGTCCCTCTTCTTGTGTCACCCCCACAATTCTTCCCAGGGTTAACTTTGGCTGTTGGGGCCCAACAGCATAGGCTGTTGAGAAGTTTCTGGGCTGGGCATGTTCTTGGCAGTTCACCCATTCACGCCCATGCTTTGGTTTTTAGTAAAAATAAATTAAGTACCCTCCATGTGTCCCTCTTCTTGTGTCACCCCCACAATTCTTCCCAGGGTTAACTTTGGCTGTTGGGGCCCAACAGCATAGGCTGTTGAGACAGTTTCTGGGCTGGGCACCTATTCTTGACCATGCTTTGGTTTTTAGTAAAAATAAATTAAGATATAATTATTAATTTACCCATTCTCATGGTAACGTGGCATTCCCAGAAATTCTCTCAACAGCATAGGCTGTTGGCCCCCAACAGCTAAAGTTTTTCCTTCTTCCCACGCCTCCTACTTTAATGCATTGTTCCCTTACCTTTCACAAACTCCTCCCACCCAACACTTCAATTGCCTTGCTTTCACCACCAACAATGCCCTTCAGCCTGACTCCTCCAAAATTGAAATTTTGCTTTCCAAACCTAACAACAAGTTGTCTTCAACCTCGTCCAACACTTCAGCTCCATAAAAATCTCCATGGTTCTGCAACTCCTTACCAAAACCTTCCCCTATCATCCCCATTCTAATCTCATCGTTCTTAGGTTCCAACTCCACATATAGGGCACATGGTACAGCCCAGGCCACCTTGGGTATGCCACATATTGTAGCAAGGCCCATTATCACTCCTATTACCAAGTAACATTTCCTCGTATAAATAACATCGAAACAAGCTACCAAGCTGAAACATGAACAGCTAGTGGCATTTCTTGTCAGCCTGTGCACAAGCAAGAAGCGGAGGTAAGAAGCCAAATACTGGCACTACAATCTATGTATAGGATTCTTTCTAGTTTCTGCTCCTGGACCTTTTTTTAAGAAATGTAATTTTATTAAACTATAAAGATGCAAACTGAAAAAGTACAAGGAGTAAGCCTTACCTTAGCAGATTCCAATACTGTCGGATATTGTAATCAACTATAGAAAATAGATTTACATCTACAACCCCTTTTGCACAGATTCAGAACAGAACATCAACAGATAAAACAGAATAGAAAGAGATCCTATATTCAGAGCAGAATGTAAACAGATAAAATAAAACACAAAGGGATCCTACCAAACTCTTGGAATAGAGACGCCCAGCTAAAAATTCTACCTACCACAATTATTATCAACTCATTCTCAAGGGGTGAAAGTCCTGATTGAAAAATAGATCCCCAAGTAGGAATCATGTTATAAATGACAAAAAAAAACCCTGTGGAATATAGTCCCTCAAATGTTAGCTTTTGTACAATTTCCCAAAAGAGATGAGACTGGCAATTCTATATCCTATAAGTCTATAAAAGAAAATAGTAAAATACCTAAAACAAAAGCACCATAACCCAGCAATTCTCAGTCAACGCCCCCCTCCCCCTTCCTAGTTAGGCCTGGGTTGGATTGGAATCAACGGTTTCTAACTCTATCATCATCATGGTCATCATCATCTAAGCCCCTTAAGTCCTTAACCCAGCTATATGCAATTCTGTTCTGTTCAATGCTATATCCATTGTTAAATTATGAGTGTTTAAATCATTTCTTACTACTTCGATTAATGGCCTTTTTGGTCTGCTCCTAGCCCTTCTAGCCCCTCTAGCCCCTTCAACTTATAACTGATTGCTTTTCCTTATGAGTGCCTCAAGTGGTATTTTATGCATGAAACAAAACACCAAGTCTACTTTCTCTCATTTTATCACCTAGTGGAGCTACTTCTAGGTTCCTCCGAATGACTTCATTTCTGATCCTATCCTTTCAAGTATTTCTACTCATCCACATCTCAACATACGCATTTCTGCCACACCCATTTTTTGGACACCTTGTTTTATACAAGGATGCCTAATTCTAGAGAGTACAGCCACACCCCACGATTCTCCACCACATGATTGTCAGAAGCCAAATAGATCTCTTTGCTCATTAGCCTTGATTGCTTGTTTCCTATCTTTACTATGTAAGGCTAGAATCTCACACCCTTGGGCCTATTGTTTTTTATTTAGATTTCCTGGTCTGGATTCCCAGGCTTTGAGACCCATGTGTCAGATTAAGTTACAGCACACTTCTATGTGTGTCAAAGTCGCACACTTCTATGTGTGTCAAAGTCCAACATTCCACAGATTCTTGGAGGACAGTTCAAAATAATATTTCCTTTTTGTCCCCTGGTTTATTTGACATAAATGAATGGATAAATGCACAAGATGAATACCTTTTCTCGTATAATATAGTACTCAGTAACAACAGAAACATTTTAGACCCCTTTCCCCTTTTTGTAGGAACGTTAGGAGTCAAAAAGACATGAACTAATTCAATAGTATGTACTTTCCCATGAACATACCCATGACTCCATGTTTCTCATCCTGTCAAAGTTGGACTCTTGGACAAAATCCAGTGTCCATGACCATATAACACTGCATGCCACAAACCATGGTAACACTTTCTAGAAGCATGTCTTTCATAACAAGAACACATACATCAAGATGCATGCAATTTCTCTCCCTATAACGTCAATTCTGAATTATGGTCGAAAACTCATCACTGTAATTGAACCAAGATGATAGCATAAAGCTGAATTTTGACGGAAGTAGTCCAGGAAATCCTGGCCCCTCAGGTATAGGAGGGGTTTTGAGAGATAAGGATTGTAATATCTTAGCCTTGTACTTGGGTTCAGTGGGAAATGGGAATAGGAGACTCAAAAATGGGCTGAGTTGTTGGCAGCTTTACAAGGTATTCAGATCACTAATCAACTTGGTGTTCAGAATCTTCAAATTGAAGGAGATTCCAAGGTTGTTGCAGGTTGGTCAACAGATCCAAACTCAGTCATTTGGTGCTACAATAACCTCTCAAAGAAGGCTAGCTGGTTATTAAGGAATATGAATGTTAGTGTACATTGGCATTGGGTTGGCAGTTCTGCAAATGCAATGGCAGATTATCTTGCAAAACAAGAGGTTTTGACGGAACATTTGTACTGGGCTACCTTGTAATCTTTATCTATAGTGAGGTGGTTTTCACTTTTAAGGGAGCACCTTGCACCTCTCAGTGGGATGCTTGTAACAGTTCTCATATTTTCTTAATAAAATTCCTCTTCAATTATCAAAAAAACAAGATGATAGCAACATGATAATTCAGTTGCAACATGGAGAAAAAAATCATGCACAGTGGAAGAGTAAACTCCAACTCCAGAAATTTAGCCCCACTGGTTCAAATGTGGTATTAAAGATAAGCAGTGAAGAAGATGGAAATGATAAGGTAAGAAAGTAAGGAATAGGAAAAAAAAGAATAAGGAAACTTAGTATCAGTCTATAGGAGTTTAGGACAAAAGGAAACTTTGTCTATTTCAAAAAGGATGTAAATCAAAAATAAATTTGACTGTGTCTCTCTGCAGTGATGAATGTGATGATCAAAATAGTACATTATGTCAAGATAATGAACAAACTTTTGCAGATTTTACAACTTATGACATTTTAAGGAATTGACAGTAAGTGGATTCCTCATCTACGGCCACAATAGTTCAGTCACTAGAATGGTTTCATCCAAACTCAAATACAATCAAGTTGAACTTTGACAGTTGCAACAATGGGTATCATGCACTATCAGGAATTGGGTGAGTTTTTAGACATAAAAGCAAGGGAACTTCCTAGCTTTATACTCAGTAACAGCAAGTTATGGTGATTCCATTTGGCTAAAATATTGACATTCTGCATGATTACAGATGCAAAAAAATCCTTGTGCTACAAAGATTCTTTGGTTGAAGGACACTAACGTGTGACTATATGGTGGCTAAGAAGGGTCATGGAAGAATGCACACACTGAGGGCAATCTCAAATTGGCATCACAGCAAAGGATAGTTTATAAGTGAACACCAGGGTCAGTCTTATGAATTAGAAAAACAACAGATAAACAGACACCAGATGTATTGGTGCCTAATACGCCAAGGAAAGAGTGGGTGTTATGCAAAATCATCATTTGACTAGCTGCCTTTGTGGGGTGCAAGGCACCTGATGCACAAATTCTTATTAATAGCTCAATGAATAAATTCAACTGTTACTGATAAAAAAAAAAACAACCTGGATATCAACAACCTATCCAAGAAATCCTGTACAAGTCATCTCTCTTCATAAGCCAAATACAGAAGGTGCATGCACAAGTTTTTTAGCTAAATGCAGGTTCATCAAGCAATTAGAATTTATGAGCACATGATGCTCACTATAAAATTAGAACGAGTACCACACTGTCACCCTCGGTCCTCCACAAATGAGGCTCCACAATAGAAGTATCAAAAGTTTCAAGTCATTAATCATCCACCAAAATGATTCAATAAAGTCAAATGACCTTAAAGCCTTCATAGACTTAAGAAGCATACCCTCTAAGATGCCAAGAATAGTTAGCACACCAATGCACATCAGTTATAGATTATGGCAAAAATTTAACACCCAAATCAATTAAAGAGACAATCATACTTCCCAAATTAATCAAATCCACTATAGCAGCTTCAGGATCTAATCCTCAGTCCACAATGTATATGTCAAAAGAAATATATAGCAGGATTACGACATAAAATGGGCTCCTCAAATTTATTTATCAAGTTACACAGACAATCATGCCCATCAACAGCAGCAACCCTGATAGAATTATAGGATATGATTATCAGTTCCACCATTATATCTCTAAGAGCATTAGAACTATTATTCAACTTGAAGCTTGATTTACTTGTAATGGAATCAAGAACCATCAACGATGAACACTCAGCTATCTTTTCCTGATAAGAACTCCAATTAGGATTGAATCAACTTTGAAAGCAACGAATTTGGGAAATCATCAAAAAAAGTCTCTCACAATAGATAAGCCCCAGATTAAGCCAAAATACTAAAGATATCAGAAATGAAACTGCAATAGGAACATGGCTATTATACTCCTCCATGTAAGCATCAAAAACATATCATATTGGGCTTCATTGCACATGAAACAAAGTATGCCTTCTGCAACAGGAGTATCTAAAAGCCCACTAAAGCACTTCCACATGCTACAAAAGACACTCAAGCTATAGATGGTGTTCTTTAAAAAGCAATGCTAGCATCAAAAGCTAATGTCCTTCATTTTTCCTCGAGGAACTGTTAAGTGGAGCGCATAAGGGCCATCAAACTCTAGATTATGCTCCAATGAAAATTGATACTCAGGATTTAAACATTAACAAGAGGAAATTCCCCATGCATATCCCACTGCATTCAGATTTGAAAACCTGATTAATCCCCTCCAGAGCCCATATACTTCTGCAACCTCACCAATAAAACAAAAAATTATTTTAACATCCAAGAAGAAAAAAGTATCCAGTTTTATTCACTTTAAGCTTCCGGGTAAATGATCACTAATTGGTAACCTCAGATCAGGACATAATTATGACCATAAGCAGCAAAGTGATACCTCCAGATCAACCTCAAGAGCCTGTATTTGATCTTTTCATAAACTTTCACTGGGGCAAATTGAAGTATCATTGTCATTGATTCTCGGTAGTCTTAGTTTCAATGTTTTTGAACTCCTTGAAGGACATAAACTATACTAGACAAAGCAATACACTGAACAAATTCCAACATAAAATTCATAAAAGAAAGAAGGGGATCCAAAAGAAAACTACTTTTTAATTATTTTCCCCCAAAAAGGTAGCGAACTTGTCCAACACTCAGCAACAGTGTGTCACATATCTGCAAGACCAGCTACAAACTGTTAACATAAGAACTTGCCATGCATAAATAACTGCAATCATATTTATGCTAGAAATTAGAGTTTGTTTCTGAAGAGAAACAGTTATTACCAAAAGCTTTGCAGGTCTAATAGTAATAGCCACCTCCAAATGGGCGATCACCATAAAGAGAAGAGTATGGACCACGACCATACTGTCAATATGAAATATGATAGGTGAACATCATGCTATGCTACTTAGAACAAAAGAAATAAGATGAATAATAAAGAAAAATCAAGAAGAAAAATTAGTACTTACATCAGAACCGTAATAATCATGTGAATATAATCCACCTCCAGGTCCAAAAGAATCTGATTAAATATCAAATGTAAATATAAATTTAATAGAGATGTAAACAGCATGTACATACACACATAAATAGGTAAATGCATACATACCTCGATAATGAGCACTACGAGACAGTGAAGCAGGCTCGGGATGACCATACCGGGGACGAATTCCACTTGGTTCAAAGTAACTAGGCTCCTGGTCCTACAGCCAAGTGAGCCAACATTTAAAAGCACAAATCAGTTTGCACTAGTAATAACAAGTTCTGGCAACACTAGAAAAATAATAAATTAGTTATTGATACTAGGAAAACAATGATGTGAATACATCATATAGAGGATGTTTCCTCACCACCATAGAAAATGGCCGTTTCATTCCATGCCCCCTCTCATACAGATAAGGATCATCGACATAGTATCTGCCACCATAAGGTCGGTTAAAATCTCCTGAGGAAAATGCTTGCCTCCTAGATTGAATTTGCTTTCCATGAGTTCTCTCACTGGCAACATTCCTAGGCCTGTCAGGCCTCCTTCCTACTATTGTAGAATAACAAAATATGAAAAGGCATTAAAAAGTAATATTGAATTGATGAAAATAAAACAGTTAAACAAAGGAAGGTTGTATAAACTTTCTCAACAAGGATAACTTGAAAAAACCTGAAAGACCTTGTCCACTAAAAGCCCGTCTTCCACGATAATCAATATCATCTGCAAAAGCAAATCTCCCAGTTTGGCCCTGTCCCCGTGGATAAAAATTCTTGCCACGGATGAAGGGACGTGCTCCACGTCCAAAGCCTCTGACTGCTCAGAAGAAAAGAGGAATTTAACAATTAACAGGTATTCATGAGTTAAGCCACAACCAACTTATTATACAAATATTAAATCACTAAATCTAGAGAAAGTACCACTACCAGAGCGACCAATTCGAAATCCACCTCGCATATCACCCTTCACTGCCTGAGTCTTTGGCAAAGGATTTGATAATCTCACTTTGACTTTCGTCTAGAAAGCAGCAAGAACAGAATTAACTTTCTTAATAAGAACATATAATACAATTTGCAGCCAAACATGTCCAAACACACAAAAATCCTTGTAGGCAGGTATATACAATTGTACAGACATAAACTGTCTAATAACAGATCCATGCTAAAGATATAGCAAACATATCTACAGGTATTAGTTCCAATGTTTTAAAAGGCGTGGGAGGTGTACACCTAGAGGCGCGCCTCCAGGCGAAGCGCTCCCAAAATGCCCTGAGGCATATGCCAGAGCCGCTGACACCTCTGAGGCATACGCCGCAGGTGCAAGCGCTTTTTTCATGAGGTGTGCTAGAGGCGTACGCCTCATGCACATCTGATATAAAAAGACAGAAAAAAAAAAAAGAAAGAAAGAGAAAAAAAGGAAAGGAAAAGAAAGGAAGGGAAGAAAAAATAAGGGAAAAGAAAGTGGTTTGCCCCCTGCCCCTTTGGCCTTCTTAATTAGACCTGTTCATGGGCTGGGCTCAGGCTTGGCTTTTGCCAAATTTTGAATGGGGCCTGGCCCGAAGCCCGAGCCCAACAAAGTGCAAGTCAGGCCCGAAGCCCGGCCCAAGAACAGGTCTATTCTTAATATAAAAGTTTTTTTATTAAAAATAAGGAAAAAATGAGATCCCCCCTTCCTCTTCATCCTCCTCCAAACCCCCCTCCTCTTAAGGAGGCTTACGCCTCTTGCGTTCTGAACTACGCCTCACGCCTCTAGTGGAACGCCTATCATGCCTCCACATTTTAAAACATTGATTAGTTCCAAAACTCAACCCTTTCCCTCATTTATCTTATAGAAAAAACAGGAAAAAAATTATTGGTAATAATCACAACCTGATCTTTCTGAACTCAAAATGCATGCTTAACATCTTAGTAAACATGTGGGATACTATGTGATCCAAAAGAAATACAAGAAATGTACCTTTGATTTCCCATCACCCAGTTCTGTACCATTTACACCATCAATGCAAGCAATAGCAGCTTCATGTGTAGTAAAATCAACAAAACCAAAATCTTTCCTCTTTGCCGTCGACATATTCCGGGCAAGAACTATGCGTTCAATCTCCCCATACTCTTTAAAATGCTCTCTAACATGATCCTCATCCCAATGAGGAGGGAGCCCATCTACAAAAACAGACTTAACCTGGGACATGACCTCTGGATCTGGCTCACGTAATGGTTCAGCAAAGGCCACCTTGGCAGTTCTCTCAGCATGGCCAAAAATCACATCTGTTTTTTGCAGGCGCTTGTATGCTTGCATTGCATCAGCATGACAAGAAAACTCAAGGAATGCAAAGCCTCGACTCAATCCTTCATGTTGTGGGTCTGGAACAAGTGTAATATTTTCGATGCCTTCAATGCCATACTCTTTTAGCTTTTGCTTAATCTGTGCACACAAACAATATCAACAAACGAGAAATAAACCAAACAAACAAATATGTAATTCTGCTAGTTTAAGAGTCTTACGGCTTCCTTTGTCCAGGTATTGCATATGTTACCCAAGAAAAGTGTATCATTGTCCTCGCTGGGAGCAGTACCGCAACGCTTTCCACGTATCTGTCAAAAATAATTAACAAGTAATTAGGACTAAACCAGGAAAAGAAACAAGTAAAGAGCTTTCCAGGATTCAGAGAAGGGATCTATACAATGGGATTCTTCAATTCTGATAAAGCACGGGTAGCGTGCTCCTTATCCGCAAACTTGACAAATGCAAACCCCTTATTCTTATTAGTCGACGGGTTCCTATGCAACCGAACTTCAACAATCTCTCCAATTGATTCGAAAGCTATTCTCACATCCTCCTCCACGGCATCCCGATCCAACCCACCTACAAATATCTCATGCTCTTTCTTCATCTTCCGCTCCTTGGCAGCAGCAGATATTTCCAGCTGTTCTTCCAATCCCGCAGCATCCTCATCCCACGCCGCCTCCTCTTCTTCTGCTCTCTCTTCATCCCCACGTCCTTCAAATCCCTCTTGCTCACCAAAGTCCTCTATCCCATCATCAAAACCATCCTCATTCTCCTCTGTTTGAGCATTCTCACCTTCAATGCCTCCTCTATCTTCTTTCACTAGGTCACCGACAGGCTCCTTTTTGTCATCGGAAGCTTCTGTCACCCCCTCCGACTTGATTTCATCCTTCACCTCCTCGTCCCCCTTGACAATAACAGATTCCTTCTTCGTCGAACATTCTTGAACCTTTGCAACAACCAGATCTTCCTTTTTGTGGGACTCTTTTACATGCTCGACAGCAATTTCTTCCTTTATTTGAGAATCCCCAACTGCAGCAACTGCAGGTTCCTCCTTCGAAGAATCACCAATATTTGCACCCACCTGATCTTCCTTATTTGTCGATTTATCAACCTTCGTACTTACAGCCTCCGCTGGCTTAGGGTTCTGTGCAGAGGAAGCTTTGGCTGCAGAAGGGGTTTTAGTTTTCCCGGATGTTTTCTTGGCCGAAGATTTAGCAGCCGGGGCCGCTTTCGTCTCCGGCGTTGTCTGTGCAGTATCAACTGATGTACTCGCATCTTCCACTACAAAAATAAATAACACGTATTCATGCTATAGCTGCGTACAGACTACCATCATCATCCACCAAAAAAAAAAAAAAAACAATACTTGTAGAACAATTAATAGATACACAGATAAAAGGGTACAAGGGCTACCTTTGGCTTCGGGTTTTGAAGCGGACAAGGGAGTTGCTGGTTTCGCAGCAGCGGTGCTATTTTTCGATGGTTTTGAAACGGTTGTAGATGCAGGTTTGGTCTCGGCGGATGTCGGCGTTGTTGACTCTACGGCTCCCTCCGAGGGCTTCGTAGGTGTTTTAATGGCGGACCTCTTCGCCGGAGCTTTCTTGGTGGCCCCGGATTTGGGGGTTTCGGCATTCCGAGTTCTCATTGTGACGGAAATAGGATGCTGGACTACGGAAGGATGCAGTTTCTCTCTACTCTCGGAATTTAAAGGTGGAAACTTTGGAAAGCCTGGAATACTGAACAAGACTAACGCAAAGAGAGAGAAGCGGGCTGGCAATAGAAATAATAAGATACCTTAAGATGCTTCTATCAAACATCCGCCAAAATGTCAGGATGGCCGAGTGGTCTAAGGCGCCAGACTCAAGTTCTGGTCTTCGAAAGAGGGCGTGGGTTCAAATCCCACTTCTGACAATACTTTTCAATATTTCTCTAAATTATTTTACGCATCATGCTATCTACATTATTTATTTATTTATGTGTGTATGAGTATGTATAAATATGTATTTTATTAATAAGTAATTTATAATTTATTTTTTCTATATGTAATATATGCATTATTTTATATTTAATTTATGTTTGTAATTTTTTTGTTTAAAAAAATATTAAAAATTACAATTTGAGACCAAAAAAAAGTTTTTCTTGGGAAAAATAGTGGGACAAGGTGCCTACGGCCCTTGGGATACATAGATCTTGAAAAAATATCCAAAATTAAAACAAAAAACAATATTATCTTAATTGGACATCAAAATGCAAAGTTATGGTCTCCCAAAGTTTGTATACACATTTAGTGTGCAACTTGTGACTCGGTTATTAGGACGAATGTGTCAATGGTCCAACCATCTAGGTAGGGTGATTTTTTACCCAATTAACATTTTTTTACTATTCTTTGGGTTTTAATAAAACCAAACCCCAAATCTTGGTCGGGTGGTGGTTTGAACAATTCAACCGATCAGGTCAACTATAGGTTGAAAACATTATATAAAGCAAGTATTTTGCCTTGAGTTCTATATAAATCATAAAAGCTAAATTCAAATACCATATATCATATACATGGTTTTAAAAGGCGATCGAGGCAAGGCGAGAGGCGTACGCCTCACAGCAAGGCGGCCAAATTTTGCCCAGCCTTAATAGCCTTTTAGCCTTATGCCTCAATTTACATGAGGTGGTAGCCTCAAGTTAAAAGGGTTTTGGGTGGGGAAAATTGGATTTTAGTATAGGCAATTTTGGAAAAAGTAAAAACCCCAAAACGCAGGGTTTTAATCAACCAAAATCTCATTTATCTATTTTCATTTTTAAATTGAACTCAAGAAGACCAAAACTCATTTCTCTTCTATTGTTCTATGTTCTATATTCAACTTCTCAAACTGAACTCAAGATTCAAGAAGACAAGAATATTGGACTAAATCAAATCGTGCAACTACATACAGGTCCTCCTTCTTCTTCTTGAATCTTGCGTACAGGTTCTCCTCCTCCTTTTCACTTTTTTCTTGTTTTTTTGTCACAACCGTCAATGAAGTTTTATCATGACAGCCATGGAAATTCATTTCAAGACTTGTCTGAAACTTTCTAAATTTCAAGAATTGTCTAGTTCATCTATATTTAGTAAGTGCAGCCATAGATTTGTTTGAAACTTTCAAAATTTCAAGATTGAAGAGAAAAAGTAAAATGCCTACACCTAAACAATAGTTACTAATTAGAAGTTAGCTAAGAGCCTTAGACTTCATAGTTCATACAAGTAATCTTGATGAAAATATTTGAAAAATCAAGCAATTGTTGAACCATTGATACATTAACTGACAAATAATTATACACAACTTAAATTATTTATTTTTTCATAAAATTTAAGTTTTTAATTTGAGGCTTACGCCTCAAACCACCTCGAGGCTTATGCCTTGCCTCTTTAGCACCCAACCGCCTCGCTTCCACCTTTAGCCTTTTAAAACCTTGATTATATATGGTTAATTATTGCTCTTACACTATAAATAAATATATGTGTGTATACACTAAAACAAAGCAATCTAGAAATTTTCTCCTTTTTTTAATTTTTTACTTTTTTAATCCATGTTATTTTGTATCTAATGAATCAACTTCCTGGAGTTCATCTGTTGTTGGCCATGTCTGATCGCTTTCCTAGACCCCTTCTTTATCATGATTCTCAACTTAAAGGTGTTGGAATGCTATTTTCTTTTAGTTTCACTTTTTAATAGCAAGTTCTGTGATAACTAATGTGATGCTTGGATACATGTTGCCATGTTGTCATAAATTCATAATATATATTGAATCTGGATCCATTTTGTCATCTTCCATGAACAACTATTGTCACAACCTTCAATGAACTTTTATCATGACAGCCATGGAAATGAGTCTAATTCATTTCAAGATTTGTTTGAAACTTTCAAAATTTTAAGATTTGTCTAGTTTATCTATATTTAGTAAGTGCACCCATAAGTTTGTTTGAAACTTTCGGAATTTCAAAATTGAAGAAAAAAAGTAAAATTCCTACACCTAAACAATAGTTACTAGTTAGCTTAGAGCCTTAAACTTCATAGTTCATACAAGTAATCTTGATGAAAAGATTTGAACAATCAACAATTGTTGAACCATTGATACATTAAGTGACAAATAATTATACAAAATTTCAATTATTTATTTTTTCATAATTTTTAAGTTTTTAATTTGAGGCTTACCACCTCACCTCCTCCTTTAGCCTTTTAAAACCTTGATTGTATATGGTTAATAATTTCTCTTACACTATATATATATATATATATGTGTGTGTGTGTGTGTGTGTGTGTGTGTGTGTGTGCGTGTGTATAAACTAAAATAAAGCAATTTAGAAATTTTCTCCTTTTTTGAATTTTTTATTTTTTTAATCCACATTATTTTTTCTCTAAAGAATCAACTTCTTGGAGTTCATCTGTTGTTGGCCATGTCTGATGGCTTTCCTAGACCCCTGCTTTATCATGATTCTCAAAGGTTTATCAAGTCTAAAACCTCTTATAAATTGTGTGCAACTAGGAAAACTCCCACTATTCTCATCACAACTCACCTATTGTTTATGGGTTTTGGAGCAAAAGCAGAGGAGGTGGAACTACTCTATTCTCACAATCTTCACAACTCACCTATCATTGGGAGGGTTTTGAACCAAAAGTAGAGGTTGAAGACTTCACCTATCTTTTATTTTAGGCCACGTTTGTTTGAGGTGTAAATGAGAACTAGGGTAAATTATACACCAAGTCTAATTTTGCAAGTGTTTGGTAGAGGTGTTAGTGTTAATACACCTTGTAAATCGGTGTAAAAATCCATCCTTGTTAGTATCTTCCTCGAAAATTGGTGAAAAGTTTACATAGATAAAATCGATGTAAAACTCCATCTCTTTTAAACTCAATTTCTCTCTCCATATGAAAAAGGGCCTAAGGTTTGTGTCCTCTCATACTTTTCTCCTTGAAGAAATCCTTCCAAATCTAAGGCAAGGGTTCTGACGTCAGGAAAAAGCAATAAAGAAAATCAACAACCAAAAAAATAAAATTGACAAGAACATGAGTATTCACTGGTCAACGCCCGTTCAGCTAGGTTTGAAAAGAAATATTTGATTCTAATTGAAGAAAACCAAACCAGCGAGAACACAAGCAACCATCATCATTAGACCTGTTCATGGGCCGGGTAGCCCGATGGGCCGGGTTGGGTTGACCCAATCTAACTCAGGCTTGGACAAGATTTTATGCTCGCGGGCTCGGGCTCAGGCCTAAAATATTGGGCCCGACTTTTTTTCGAGCTGGGCTTGGGCTTTCTCAAAAACGCCTAGCCCAAGTTTGAGCCCGATTTGATAATGTATTATATTAATAAAAATATATTTTATATAATAAAAAAGCAAATATATATAATATTGTTCTTCACTTTTTTCAAGTAATAATGAGACTTTTCATTATTTTTTTTTTATGTTTGAGGTCTTTTAGTATAAATAAAACAAATTTTAATTGAATTAAAAAGGAAAAATCATTTTTTTTCAAATTTCTAGTCGAGCTCGGGCTCGGGCCTGGGCTTCGGGCTTTATATTCGGGTCGGGTCGGGTCAAGACCTAGGCCCAATGATCGGGCCGGGCTTGGGCTCGAGCCTAAACATTTTCTGTTAATGTAAAGGCAAAGCCTGGCCCAACCCGTGAACATGTCTAATCGTCATCAATGGTTGTCTCTTAGATTCTAAGCGAAGAAAACTAAAATAGGTGAGAACAAACTAGAAAACAGAGTAACCTCCATTTACATTAATATAACCAAACAGGACGAGTGTAAATGGGCACAATGGTCGGTTTTATTTTACACTCTCATCGAACCATCATGTCTCAACTCCATGAGTGTAAACGTGCATTTACACTGGAAACAAATGCAGCCTTAGACAAAAAAAGAGGCAAAACTACTCTATTTTGGACAAAAACAATGACGGAACTACTTTGCGTTCATTTTTTTACTAATCTATCTATTTTTCTAATAAAAAAAGTCCGCTAATCGATCATTTTTTGGGTGATCAACCTCCACAACTATCTGTTATTTAACCATCGGTCATTTTTCAATCTCAAAATCAGGCGTGTTTTCAGACTTTAAGTCTTGGTTGGAGACATTGTTGGAGGTCTAGGATTTATGTTTTTCTCATTCTCATATTATTACTTTTTTGTGTTGGCATTGTCTTTTATCTTTATCCCTTCTAGGTACCTAGAGGCTATTATTGATCCCAAATAAAGGGAAGCTATGAATGAGAAAATGAAAGCCTTGTTGAAAGTTAACACTTGGGAGCTAGTGGCTCTACTAGCCAAGAAAACCACTATAGGGTGCAAGTGGGTATATATAATCAAACACAAGGCTAATGATTCTATCAAGAGGTATAAAGTCAAAGTAGTTGCAAAAGGATTAATCCAAAAGGAAGGGATTGATTATAAGGAAACATTTGCTCCAATAGTAAAACTAAATTCTATGCGGGTGTTACTCTCTCTTACAATATTTTTTTCTTAAGAACTACATCAGTTAGATTTTAAGAATGCTTTCTTAAACGAAGATCTACAAAAAGTCTACATGGACCCTCCTCTAAGACATTACATGAGAGGAAAGGTATGTAAACTAAGAAGGACCTTATATGGCCTCAAACAACCTCCAAGAGCTTGGTTTGAAAGATTATGCAAGGTAATGAAGGTTGTTGGATACAAGTAGAGTAGTGTTGATCACATGTTATTCTATAAAATAAATGAACGAA